ATAGGTGAGCTGCTAAACAAGGCTTTTAATTCAAACTAGATATGAAATTTAATTTTTTATCTGAATTTAAAGATACAATTAAGGAATGATAAGACGAATACTAAAAAATCTAACATAAGCAATGATAAGTTAAAAGTTGTTAAGAAAGAAAGAAACTTTGATGGGCCTGGATCCTTTAGATGCATCATTAGTATTTGATGAAGAGCCTTTTGTGAAATGATCAAGACAATGGGAAGATATTGCAAGGAGAATGACTCAGTAATTAGGTTTTCATTAGGTGTCATTTTGGTTTCTTAAAACAACTCAGTTATGCTATTATGTGTCAAGTCTTGTTATGCACATTATGTGCCATGTTTTGTAACAACTCAAGTTATGCACATTATGCACCATTTGGAAACTTCTTTTGTAAGACTTACTCAAATACCTACTAATGCTGGTTGTAATGCAAATGAAACATATGTGGTATTTTGTTGTGATTTCAATTTAATTATACGACAATTTATACAAAATTTGGTTGTCTGTTCTTGTTATGCTTAATATGCACCAATGGTTGCCATTTTGTGCTCCTTATACTGTAATTATATAACAATAACATTACTAATTTAATAAACATCTTTCATTAATTCAAAAGAAAAAAATTACAAACTTATACAACAAACACATCAATTTCAACAACATCTTTCATTAATTTAAAATATTTCATTGATTGGCATTATAAGCTAGGGTACACATCAGTCTGTTACATTAACCTAGTAAAGTTAGGGATACACATCAGTCTGTTACATGAACCTAGTATCTGTTACATGAACCTAGAAGAAATAAAAAGCATGTAGCAATAATTACAACTATCACAAAATTCATCTTCTTCCTTAAGCCGTCAACCTTTTTCTTCATTTCTTCCATCTTTTTCGCAACATCTTTTTCCATTTTACTCATCAGATCTACGACTTCTCCGTCTGTTACAGTTGTTTCTCTTTCACCAAAAAACTCATCATCCCAATGGAATAAGTGACAATCATCTTCTTTACCCTAAAACTTACACTTCAAGTACTTTTTGTCAGAATTTGCAATTGACTTTGAAACAAACATCTTCATAAACATATTTTGGAGTTATTCTACCGTTTAAAGACATGTTTGAGTTTGAACAAACTAAAATTTTCATTTTTCTTGATTAAATCAGCGAAAGAAGGACGATGAAGGGACAAATTTGAAGGAGAAGATGGAAGGAGAAAGTGGATTAGGCATTACAAGGAAGAAAACAATGATACGAATACGAAGACATTGCAAACTTGTAATTTTAGGTTTCTTTTTAGTAAAAGGTAGTTTCGTTCAGTTACCTTTCATTTATCACATGTGAAAAATAATTAAAATTAAAAAATCAAACAAACGATGTCACATCATCGTTTTTGATGAGTTGGCCTGACAAAAGTTTAAAGAGAGATATTTTTCAAATGGTAGGAGAACTCATGCAATTTTTTTAGGCGGAAGGGAGGTTTCCAAAATGGTCAATATGACAGAAGAAAAATAGGTATTAACCCAAAAGTTAATGACCATATAAGAAGTATGTTCATCAACACGGTATCATACAAGTAACACATGTTTGAGTCTTTTAATCATTTGACAATGTTTCTCCCATAATCATGCATATGGCTTCCCTCAACCATGCATACATGATACGACAACTTGCAAATGTTGATGCTTTGCATTTGAAAATGAGTAGGCTACTTTTACAATTTAGGTATTAACCCAAAAGTTAATGACCATATAACAAGTATGTTCATCAACACGGTATCATACAAGTAACACATGTTTGAGTCTTTTAATCATTTGACAATGTTTCTCCCATAATCATGCATATGGCTTCCCTCAACCATGCATACATGATACGACAACTTGCAAATGTTGATGCTTTGCATAAATTTGAAAATGAGTAGGCTACTTTTACAATTAAGTAGCTTTTGATAACTTAAACATATATAGTTAGGAGATATATAAATAAATAAATAAATAATTCAAATGAAAGGGGATCAATATTTAAGAAAGAAACAATTACAAAGATATCAAAAATAGAGAATTTGAAAATAAGCAATCTTGAACTCTTAAATTCATAGTGCCAAAAAAACATCCCAATAACTAGTAGTTACAAGTATCAACCATAATATTTACAAGAATCAACCATTGTTTGCATGCGTCCTTCCTATTTAAAAGACTATCTCAAAAGACAACTTAGTAAATAACATTGTTTTTGGTTAAATCAACTAAAGTTAATACCTAAGTTTCTAAGGAAATATAACTCTTGCAGTAAGAGGGTAAATAATCTTTGCTAGAACACCTTGTAATCTTTTTGATTAATAAAATTACATATCTTCAAAAGGGTGGGTCTCAAAGGCCATGAAATAAAAAGAAAAGTAGGTATAAATGAGGGAGAGAAAAGACAAAACCTCAAGCCTAGCAAAATTTAAAACTAGGAAGGTTTAATTTGTTTCTATTGAAATTCATAGCTAATTTGTTTCTTACATTCCACCGCGTATAGTTAGTAACACCTAATTTTAAATTAGCTAGCTTATCTGAAGAGTTAGGGGTGTTCGCAGTTAGTTTGGGCGGTTTTGAAGTCAAACATCATCCGAATCACAAGATAAAAAAGTGTGCAATTTGGTTTGGTTCCGTTGGTTTTTAAAAATAAAATCGAACCAAACCAATACGGTTTAGTTCAGTTCGGTTTTTTACAATTTTTTTATTGAGACATACATACACGAGAACAACATAACTTTGTGTTTAGTAATTCATACATTACCAAATAACAACAAAACACATCATATTTGGACAACAACTTCCTATTTAATATATAAAAATTAGATTAGACAAAAGTGAAATAATAAACATAAAACAACATATGAAACAAAAAAAAGGAGATGAGAGATTAAAGAAGATGAAAAAGAAAGAACAAAAGAAATGAGATATTAGAGAAGAAGAGGTGCAATAAAAATGAAATTGGAAGAGAGAATAGTAGTATAAAAATGAGAAGATGGAAAAGAAAATATAATAGAGTAGTGATTAGTGAATAAAAGGCGAGATGTACCTAACAAAGAAAACGCAAATTTTCTAGGAGAGATTTGATAGGGATAAATCGAAAATCCTAAGTGCGAGGAAGAGAAAATCGTTCATAGTTGTAAGACTAACACGTAATAGATTTGAGTTTGGGTTGAATGTGGGTGAAGTGAAGTTTGGGTTGTAATAACATAATGCGGTTTGATTCGGTTTGCAAAATACAAACTGTGAACCGAACCGAACTGCACGGTTTGGTTCAAAAATGACCCAAACACATCCGAACCAAATGCGATTTTTTGCGGTTTTCGATTTGGTTTGGTTCGACGTGCGGTTTTTTATTGGGTTGGTTCGGTTTTGGACATCCCCATGCACAATGGCTCTCTTCCCTGTAAATGTGAGTAGCTAAAAAATAAGAACGTTGAAGAGTTTGAATACAAGCGTCCCATATATTCCTTAGTTTTCAATGCACCACATATGGTTTACTGAGAGCAAGCACCACAAGTTTTGAATTTATCTTCAACCAAAGTTTATTTCAATTTTGTCACAAAGCATGTTCCATGGCTATAATTGGTACTAACTCTACAAATAAAACATTTTCTTGTCCAAAATTGCAAGCAAAACTATCCAAGTGATCCTCATCGTGATTTTTAAAAATACCACCACAAGCTGTTTGTTCCTCCCAACACACCATAAATGTTTACCTTTATCCAATTTGGAGAAGAAGGGCACAACAAAATCTCATCGACAATGCGAGGTTTCGTATGCAACTGCACATTGAAACTTTAAAAAAACACAAAGTCTTGAATAAAAACACTTGTGCAATTGGAGGTATTGCTACCACATAAAGCAGTTTGCGACGAGATTCAAGCACAAGCCGATTTCTAATTGATGAAAGAGTTTTTAAATCAAATTTTGTTTCTTGTTGTCCTTATACTGTTAACAATATTAGTAATAGTTGCTCTACTCGCCACATGATTTTGTTGAGAACACTTGTTATCAAAATTTCTCTAAGAATCATCAACAAAATTGATTAAAGGGCGATGCATCATGTCGGCTAGCCACTTCGGGCATAATTGCAATTAAAGAAAAATGTACAGTTGCGTTTGGTCAGAATTCTAGCCCAAACTACAAATGGATGGAAGATGCTCGCAAACTAAGTTTGTCATATGTATGAATCTTTCCGTTGATAAGTCTCCAAAACATCAAAGACATTAGAGAGATTTCCGTATTCCAAATAATTTTATTCCACGTAACGACTTGATAAACAAAAGACATCTTTAATTGTATAAAAACTCATCTCTGATCATTGTTATTGTGCTGCTTGTTAATCTTTAAATAAGAGTTTACTTTTTTTTAAAAGGTGTAATGAGTTAATTTTGAAAGGAGGTTAATGTTTTTTATAAAGAATAGATAATTTAAATAAAAATAATAATTAAATTATTATTAATAAATAAATTATTAATTAATATCTTATTTAATTTTGACACTCTAATATATTTTGTGAAAGTCTCATGCACTTTTAACTTAAATTTAAATTTATATTGACAATATATATATTTTTCTTTAAATTTCATGTCGTGAAATAATATAGATTTTGTTTCTTAAAAAATTATGAGAGAAAATTTTCAAATATCAAAATGAAATTTTGTTAATGAAATTCAGTTAAGTTGAAAAAGATTATTGGGGGTAAACATTTTTATTTATGTTAAAAATAAATGCGTTATTTTAAACATAAGCTTTTATTGTCAAATTAATTAGTTTGGTTAGGTTAAAACTCATAATTATAAGAAAAACGACATCGTATTGTAAAGCTTATATATACACTTCTCAATCCCATTTTGCTGTAACCCTAATTCTGACTCATTCACTCGCACCCTCTCTGCTTACAACGCCGCACTCTTCAAATTGATCGATAAAAGCTTCAATTTTTCAACAATTTCTTTTATCAATCGATGGAGGAAGCTTTGTTAAGCGACGAATTACCAAAATTCAGTGATATTAGACGGTATTTTTGTCCATACTGCGGTATCTGTAGATCCAAAAAAACCCTAATCACTTCCCACATCAATTCCCAACACAAGGTACTCTTTTTCTTCAAATTCAATCTTTGATTTACGCTTTATACCTAACGGGTCTCTCGATTTCTTAAGAATTGAACATCATTTAGTTTTAGTTTTTTTTGTTTAATTATTTCTACAACAATAATTTAGATCTCTGAAATTCAAGTATACTTGATTGATTAGAATGGTATATTAGATTGTTGATGAGAATTTTGTGTATATTTTAGGAAGAGTTGGAGAAAGCAAAAGATGAACCTGAACCTGAAGCAGAGGCTACTTTGAAAGCTAATACATGTGAGGAGTGTGGTGCAAGTTTCAAAAAACATGCTTATTTGTTGCAGCATATGCAAAGCCATTCACTTGAGGTATTTGCATAAAATAATTTTCATTCTTATAATCAAGTTGTTTCGGAATACTTGTGTATTGTGGTTTTTGAATTATCATGGTTTAGGCATTCTATATCATTGGAATTGGATAGTTTGTATTGATAAACATAAACTTGGAGAGGAAGATGTTATGGATGTTTCTGTGTTTGGTGTTGGACCAGGATTATGTTTCTTGAAAAGTATTAATATGGATGAACTAAAGATACATGTTTTTGCAGGAAAGTAATGTTTTAGACACTAAAATGATCTATATAATTATGGACATTTATAGTGTGAAGCATTTGGATCCCAGAGAAAGAACTCCAATATGCGCGAGGCATCACGCTTGGCCTTGATGGATTAGTATCAGGTTGGGAGACCTCCTGAGAAGTTTCATCAAGGATATGCCTCGGTCACGCTCTATTCAAAACGAGGTTGGCAGTTTGTTCATATGTGTTTCTCTTGTTCTTGTTGAAGCTTATTGGTATTTGTCAGTTCTTAACTTATTGTTTTCGTGCTTTAATTTTTTTTGTTGTGATTTGTTACAGAGGCCATATGTATGTACCCTCGAAGATTGTAATGCAAGTTACAGAAGAAAGGACCATTTGAATCGTCACCTTCTACAACATCAAGGGAAAAATTTCAAATGTCCCATTGAGAATTGCAAAAGTGATTTCTCTTTGCAAAGCAATTTGAAAAGACATCTTGATGAGATGCATGATGAAAATTCTACACCTGCCAGGAATGGCGAAAATCAGAAGTGTTTTGTATGTCCTGAAATTGGTTGTGGAAAGGTTTTCCGACATGCTTCGAGGCTACAGAAGCATGAAGATTCTCATGGTATGTTTTGTTTTTTATTTTTTATTTTTTATTTGAGTTAGCTCTTTTTCCATGGAATGTGTGTAGTATTGTCATTTATTTGGATTTTCTGAAATGTGTTGGCACAATTTTGAATGAAGTGTTTATCATGCAGTTATGCTAGAGACAGTTGATGTAGTGTGCTTAGAGCCGGGTTGCTTGAAACATTTCACCAATTCCGAGTGCCTTAAAGCTCATGTTAAGTCCTGCCATCAATATGTAACATGTGACACTTGTGGGACTAAGCAACTGAAGAAGAACATGAAAAGGCATCTCCGTACGCACGAAGCCGGCACTTCAACAGAACCCCTTAAATGTGAATATAAGGATTGTGACTGCACATTCACAACCGTAAGATGCCTCCAATCATCCATTGACATTGCATACATACTGCCTTACTTCTAATTCTTTTGGTGGCATATTTTATTAACTTTGAATATCCAATTGTGGGTTTGTATCAAACAGAAATCTAATCTTCGAAAGCATGAGAAGGCAGTACACCTTGATTTAAGGCGTTTTATGTGTGGATTTCCTAACTGTGGAATGAGATTTGCTTACAAACACGTTAGAGACAATCATGAAAAGACGGCAAAACATCTTTTTACCCTTGTAAGTTCTGTTGCTTGTTCTCGTTGTTTACGAATTTGTGATGAATTCTTGATTGAATTGAAATGCTGATCAAGATTTACTTGATATATAGGGTGATTTTGAAGAAGCTGATGAAGAATTCAGGTCAAGGCCAAGGGGTGGGGTGAAGAGAAAATATCCTACAGTAGATATGTTGATTAGGAAGAGAGTTACTCCACCTGGTCAATTGGAGAAGTTGTTTTCGCAGACTTGTGAGCAAGATGGATCATATCATACTCCTCTCTAGGCGTTAAGTTTTGACTGTATATCATGTAGAAATTATGTATTTAGTAGGATTATGATTTGTGCTACATTCATCAGACTAAGGATTATAATGTATACTTATGAATAATGATTTGTTTATATATTAATTAGTGTGAAAATTAAATGGAGATTTTTTAACGACAGATTATAGAAAAAGGATTGTGTACTAAACATTCTTTCTGATGTATTTACTTCCAGCTGGTTTTTACTTTATCCACCACCTAAACACCGTAACTAAAATTATGTGAAAGCATAAATGTAAAAATCTGAAATCAAAGAAGAAATTTATTGATTCAAAGATGAACCCTTAGGTCTCAAACTAGTCGATGAATGTGGACAAAAAAAGAGAAAAAGTATTTAGCAGTTGTAGTGTGCTTTTCTTTTCAGTTGAGGTTCTGCATTATGTTCCTTTGTAGCGGAAGGTGCTGTTTTTTTGTGCCATGCTCGGGGAGCATCAGATTGGAATGCCGCACATTATCATTGATTTTGTCCGGGCGTTTTCTTGTGGTATCAATTCATTCACAGTTTTATTACAGGTTGTAGATGTTTTATCTATGACTTTAGACATAAAATAAGAAAATAAACAAAGAGATGAACAACCAGGATTGCATTTAGCATGAAAGCTAATATTGTTAGTCAACTCACAAAACTGCTACTGTCAATCCATTGCTATAGATGGTGAGATGTATTTTTAACCTGCCACTCCTAACTTATCTAGTAGTTAATTCCAAAAACAAAATTTTAGGTAGTTTTTTCATAATTTTCGGTATCGACTAAAATTTCTGCAAATTGGATTTGTCCTGATGAAAATGTGAAATACATGTTAGGGCCAATTCGGAGGTCAACATGAGGGAGCATTTTACTTTGGGGTCTTTAATTTTATGAGAACACATATTTGTGAGACACACCATATATTCACCCAAAATCTTAAAGTGATAGGTGTGTGAGTTCTCTTACTTATAAATGCTCAAATCTCCACATTCCTAACCAATGTGGGACTTTCCCACACTACTCACACTTGTAATTCTTTTTCAACAATACGATGAAGATTTGAAGGTTATGTGGAGAACATTTCACCGTAGGCTAATTAAGAGACCGATCGAGTTTTTTTAAGATCGGTTGACAACATAATCAAGATGTTAAAATGTCATGAATCATCTGGTAGTGTCTAGATTTTCATGTTCCTTATTGTTAATTTATGTTAGTTGTAATGTGTTAAGTTATGTTCATCTTCCAAACATGTAATCGACAAAATATTATGCAATAAAAAGAACAATGCTAAATAGTCCGAGTCACAAAATATACAAATAATACAAATGTAAAATCAAATATCTAAATAAGTCCCCCATGGCCTATGTGTGTTGCAAGCAATAAGTCGGTAAAAAGCTTACAATCTGGGTTTATCAAACCAATGAGGTTATTCATAATAACAACAATCATCTACAGGCACTGCTGATCATTAACACCAGTGGAGAAGGCGACACATCATCGACAAATCCCCCAACATCGGAAGGCACGACATCGTCATCCATATGCTCAACATGTGGGATGATGCGAGAGTGTGATACAGTAAGGTACCATTCCAGGTAACCATCCTGACACTGCACATCATGCTGACCTTTACTGCACATCATGCTGACCTTTACTGCACTATCTATAATGGCACGACAGAGCCGATGATGTTACACTGAAACCACCCTTCAATGCCCAAAACTAGAACAACATGAATTGGATGTGGGATGCCTTAGACATACACATACTGGTACATACATCTCTCAGGTAAGTGTCTAGCCACTAAGGTCTCCTAGAACATATAACTAGAAAATAGAGAAGACTCATCAAACTCACGATGGACTATGTGACCTCTGTAGGGTGTCCAAATGACATCCTCTACTATCAGCGCATCAAGCCTCGTCATGTACTCTGCAACACCACCTGGATGTGTTTGCTTGGCCTTTCATCTCTTCTCTCTCTCGAGGAGTCCGTATGGGTATGCTGCACCCTCATATCACAAATGATGGGGAAATGCTCATATATCCAACACTGATAAAAGAACATAGACAAACCAAGAAATGTCATACATAAAAATTAAATAAGAACTAAATTACAAGTAATAATTTTTAATATGCCTGTAAATAGACTCAAATATCCAGCAAACTGCCTGGTCTAAAAGGTAGTCACAACTCCAAGTGTTGTATATAGAATAGTGAATTCAACGCACCCATAAGCCCAACTAGTATGCTCAATGCTACTGAACAACCACAAGTACCGAGCATCAATATAAATATGACTTATCCGTAATGAAAGTATATGCTACTAGGTGTAGAATGTATACCCTTGTAGTTGTCTCATACATTTGTCCCTCCATAAGCTCAGTATACTTGTCCTGAAGCCAAGACATCCGAAAGTGAACTCTCCTATTGAAATCCAACTCATATAGCACGACCTCCTCAGTAACTCCCAAATTTCATACAGCCGCAATACATGCAAGCTTCTCGTTAATAACATAAGCGGTGAAGAATCTACCAACGGCGGGGAGATGAAAAAGGGAGGAGACATCATCCAAAGTGATAGTCATCTTTCTAAATGGAAGATGAAAATAAGATGTCTCCTTGTGTCATCGCTCAACAAAGACAGTCAAGAATGAAGCGTCAAACATGGTGAGTGAGCAGTTAGCAAATGATAGAAGACCGAAATAAGCAACAATCCGTCTGACCTGCTCAAACATCTTAACCTTACAAAAGTTCTTCATCTTTGACCCATGGGATGTCACATTCAGCGTGGGACAGTCCTGTAACAAACAAAGTTTAAAATTTTTATCAGTTAGTTTCAACATATTCAATATCAATAATAAACAAATTAAAGTTGAACCAAAAATATATATACCTCTTTCTGCCATGATCTGTATGCCACATAGTCGACATAAACGGTAAGCACTGATCAGTCACTGGCCTTCCAAGAAACTCTCCTTTAGTTTGTACAGATGGCTCCGTTGAAGCAGGAGTCGTAACCTCTATATCACCAGTAGCAATAGCCTCGATGTCACCTGTCTTGGCCTCAACAATGGGCCACATCTGTCTCGACCACCTCAATTGGGTCAATAACAGCCCGACCTTGCACCTCCTCAACCTGAGCGACCTCATCAACCTACTGATATGCATCATCTATGGGATGCATGTCAATTATAACATCTTGACATCAGGTGTTACGAGATGCGCAAACGGATTGCTCAGCCAACGTTTTCGATGAGAATCGATTGTAACTACTTTCCCCGTCCGTAACTGTGAAGACTTAGTCTCAGCTTCCCTAGCACGTGCCATCACTGCCTCTCTATCCATAATTCTGGAAGCAATACTACCATCCTTTCCTCTGATCCTTACTAAAAAATAGAAAAAATTCAAAAAATTAAATAACTATCGAAAACTTCACAATTTTTTGTATACTACACTTGTTTTCAAGTAATTTCAGATTTCTAGGTACTATTTGTAAAAATTTGAACTACCAGCATTTTTAGAATTTCTGTCATAATTCTACAAGTTTTTATAGAGAATTTCAAAATTTTTGACAAAAACTCATATATGAATACCATTATTTTGAAAATTCACGATATAAATACATGAGTTTTTATTGAGATCTGTAAAATTGCTGATATAAAATCATGAAAGATTTTATTACCCGAAATTGTAACATTATTGGTATAAAATCATAAAAATTAAAAATATTCTTATTTTAATTAAAATTTCTGATATCGTCGATGAACTTTTGATAACTAAGAAAATTTTAAATGAATTTGAAAATATAATTTTAAAATTTTGAAGGATAATATGATAATATGTGTAGAGATGTCAAATATAAGTTGGGGACTAACAAGTTAAATTCTCTAAGAATAATTATCAAAACGTTGGAGAAATAATAATCAAAACTTTATTAAAAGTATCCTCAAATTCGAAAAATAAAATAAAAAACATTGGAGAATTTAGATGTTTATAATACTTGCTTTAAATGTGTTTTCTTTATCAATCTCACTAATTTGTTTTCCCTTTCTCTTTTATTTTTTATTTTTTCAATTTATGGGATTTTGTTTATGTCCTCCAAACTTCTTTTCTAATTTCTAATTTCTAATAATATTATGTTATTATTATTATTTTAATAAAAAATTAGATCTATTTGTTTTCCCTTTTAATTACATGTTTTCTTTGCAATCTATATAATAAATTTCTTTTAAAAAATTAACCAATTTCCTTGTAAAAACTAAACTTATAAAATAAAAATTATTTTCAACAAATTAAATGATGATAACAAATTTTCTTAATTTTCTTATGGCTTAAATAATATTTTTGTCTATGTAAATTTGTGCGCTTTTGGTTTTAATTTTTTATTTATTTTAAAAATAGTTACGGAATATTAAAATCATTTTGACTTTTGTCTTTGAAATTAAAATTCATAGAAAAATTCGAAGAAAAATCGATAGAAAATCTGCAGATTTTATATCCGTTGAAAAATTCAAAGGAAAACTCGTAGAAAATATATAAATTTTCTACAGATTTTAATTTAGAGACTAAAAAAAATTTAACATTCAAAAATTATTTTTATAAAAAATTAAAAACTAAACAAAAAATACGCCAAATTACAAATACACAAATATTATTTAAATGTTCTCTTATTTTTGTGAAAAATCCTATTACACGTAGTTCTACTAAAAAAAGGTTGACTGTTGACTACAAGTGATTTTGGAGGGCAATTAAAAGTCAAACAAAATTCTTCATTAAACATTTTGAGTCAAACATGAGGTAGGACACAATTTTCAAATTCTTCCACAAATAACTATTCTCTTTTTTCTATATTTATGATGAACAAAATCTCAACAACCTTATATTATAAAAAAAAAAGAAAAAGAGAGAAGGATAATGTAAATGACTAAGGCTCTGTTTGGTAAGATATTTTTTAAATTTATAATTTATGGCTTATAGTTTATAAGTTTAT